TTTCCCTAATTGAATTTTCTTGACCCTTTTGTCAAAAATCAATTGACCATAAATGTTCATGTTTATTTCTGGATTCTCAATTCTGTTCCATTGTGTATGTCTATTTTATACTAGTATCTACTGTCATCATTATTATACTGTTGTAGTAAGTTTTGAAAGCTGGATGTGTCAGTTCTCCAACGTTGTTCTTCTTTTCAAGATTGTTTTGACTGTTTGGGGTGCCTTGCATTTCCATATGAATTTTAGGATCACCTTGCTAGTTTCTATAAAAAAGTCAGCTGGGATTTTGATGGGGATTGTGTTGAATCTATAGATCAGTTTGCAAAGAATTGCCATCTTAGCAGTGTTAAGTCTTCTGATTCATGAACATGTGATGTCATCTTTAATTTCTTTCATACTGTTTTGTAGTTTTCAGTGTATAAGTCATATACTTCTTTGGTTAACTTTATTCCTAAGTATTTTTTGGTGCTATTGTAAATGGAATTATTTTCTTAATTTTATTTTCAGATTGTTTATTGCTAGTGTCTAAATATATAATTGATTTTTGTATATTGAACTTATATTCTGCAACCTTGTAGAACTCATTTATTAGCTCTAATCGTTTTTCGTTTTTTGGGGTATGTGTGTGTGAATTCTTTATGTATAAGAGCATGTCAGCTGCAGATAGAGGTAACTTTACTTTTTCCTTTCCAATCTAGATGCCTTTTGTTTACTTTTCTTGCCTAATTGCCCTGGTTAGAACCTCCAGTACAGTATAGAAGTGGTGAGAACAGATAACCTTTTCTCACTCCTTTTCTCAGGGAGATTCCTGTTTTTAGGGAAAAAGCCTTTTTATCATTTAGTATGATATTAACTATAGGTTTTTCATAGATGCCCTTTTATTCTTAGTTTGTCTCCTGCTTGTATCATAAAAGGGTGTTGGATTTTGTCAAATGCTTTTTCTTCATCTATTGAAATAATCATGTGGTTTCCCCCCTTCTGCATCACTTGTGTGAAGTAACCACAAAAAAAGTTTTAAGAGAATTTAAAAATCTGCCTCAATCTCACCACCTGAACACAACTGTACTTCTACATTGAAGTTATATGGTATTTTTAACTTTAATAAGTAATGCCATAACCTTAGTTCTACCCCTTGTTTTTTTATTACTCCCATATTGTGGGCCCAATCTTTTGGGAACACTGTTGTTTCAAAGTGAAAGAAGATGCAGTTCAGTATCCTGACTCAGGTAGGAACAAGTGCTGAGAATGGAAAAGAAGGAATGAAAGAAGCAAAAGTATTTACTGAGCAGATTTCTGTACCAGGTACATCATTTAACAATAATCCAGCTCTGAGGCCCAGAGGGACATCAAGGCACTGTATAGTGAGAGCTCTGTCAGTGTCCCTAGATTGTAAGTAGCATATCTGTATTCAGGCTTATTGTCTGACTCCAGAATTGATCTATTTTCTTTTCACTACATTTCAGGGAGATGAGTGTTAGGAATTGCTAAACCTTTTAAAAAACATCTATAAGCGTTTCTATACACCTCTCGAAAATAATGGAATTCCCATGTTTTTGTGAAATGCCTGATGACATTCAAAGATACTAAACACTATATTTTAAAATAGGGAAAG